TTTTTCAGTTCAGGCTGAGTGCAGTGGCTCACACTTGTAATCCTAGCACTCTGGAAGGCCGAGGCAGGTGGATTGCCTGAGCTCACAGGTTTGAGACCAGCCTGAGCCAGAGTGAGACCTCATCTCTAAAAATAGCCGGGCATTGTGGCAGGTGCCTGTAATGTCAGCTACTTGGGGGCATGAGGCAAGAGAATCTATTGAGCACCATGGCACTCTACCAACTCTGTCTCAAAAAAAATAATAAATAAATAAAGTTTAAAATGCAGAGTTGAGCTGGAAAACAAGAAAGGAGACACTTCAGATGCTGAAGATGAAGGGGTGAGTGGTGGCCAAAGTCCTGTGTCCACCTGAGAGGTCTCCATGCAAAGAACTGTGGCCTTGGGCAGCACCTGTGGCTCAAGGAGTAGGGCGCCGGCCCCATATACTGGGGGTGGCGGGTTCAAGCCTGGCCCTGGCCAAAACTACCAAAACAACAACAACAACAACAATTGTGGCCTTGTTGCCTATGTGGGGGCTGCTTATCATGGCATAAGTGACACATCCACCAAGTTGGGAGTCCCTACCAGAATCAGGTACATGCTTGAGGCCCTGAAGAAGGCTTTTCCATCTGAAGATGGCTTATAGGTTCAATTTACCAAATAAAAGAGAAAGTCCAATGCCAGGAGGGACAAGAATAATAGCTAACTTTCTCTAAGCACTTTCCAGGGACTAGGGACCAGTTGGGAGGCTTTCAGCACATGAATCCAGTTTAAAAGAGTTCATTCAAGTGTAAAGCTCCAGATGCCATTGGGGAACACAGACTCCAAAGAAATGGGGTCACTGCTCTGAAACTGAACAGGTCTTACTTTTATGTAGGCAGAAAACAAAGACTTTAGCAGAATTACATTTCCTATACAAGGTTGGTCTGTGAGTTATAGCAATCTGATTAGTTAGAGCTTGTTTGTTTTCTTTTCCCAGTTTAAAAGAGTATATTTAACATTCCATCTTAGACAATGTGATAGTCATAAGGTCTTTGTATAAAAGAAGAAAGGGGATGTTAATCTATAATGAAGATTAGCAGTAAAGAGAAAAGGGGTCTTCTCTGATGCCCTTTAGTGTTTTATAACATTTTACAAAGCAATGTAAGTAAAGGAAAAAGGCTAATCTAATATAATTAGGGATACAAAGGTTACATCTGCTTGTTAGTGACTCAGGTCCCATCATCACATTCCTTTAAGGCTTAAAATAATCTTAGCACTCTGGAAGGCCAAGGTGGGAGGATCCCTTCAGTTCAGGAATTAGAGACCAGCCTGAGCAAGAGTAAGACCCCTGTCTCTACTAAAAATAGAAAAAGTAGCTTGATGAGGTGGTGGGCACCTTGTAGTCCCAGCTACTTGGGAGGCTAAGGCAGGATGAGGGCTTGAACCCAGGAGTTTGAGGTTGCTGTCAGCTAGGCCGATGCCCTGGCACTCCAGCCTAGGACAACAGAGTGAGACTCAGTCTGGGGAAAAAAAAATTAAAATGGTAAATTTGTGTTATGTATATTTTACATAACAGTTGAAAAACAAGTCTTTGAAGTGATTAAGAAACAGAATCTGTGAAGCAAAAACAGGCTTTGTGAAAACACAGGAAGTCTGAAAGAGACAGAGATGGTAAAATGAAAAATACAGGGATTAAACTGGAACAACACAAACCGCAAGCGGCCAGGTGAAGCTGTCGCCTGAAAAGCAGAACTGGGCATGAGAGGATGCAGCTGGGAAATCGTCAAGCGCGCAGGATGGAAAACGAGGCGAGAACTGTGAGCAAGAATTAGGAGACGCGGAGGACCAAACAGAAAGCTCCAAGCAGAGTCTAATGGGAGTCCCCTGAAAAGACCAAAAAGGGTAAGGGAGAGGTCACACTGGAAGTGACGATGGCTGAGCAGTTCCAAAACTGAAGCCAAGCTCCTGGTGTTCCAGAAAGAAAACAGTGGACGGTGTAGGGAGTTAGCATGAGAGAGTTCCTGGAAGGCAGGTGGGAGAGAGGGCGTTCTCTATCCTGTCACCCTGGTCTTCCTTCTTCCTTCCCCCTCTCTCCAGTGTGGGTGACCGCCAGTCTCTGTTTGATCTTCATCCTTCTGTTCTGCAACCTGGGGATGTTTGAAGTTTTGAAACTTTCTCAGATGATGCAGCCAGTATGAAGAGGGGAAGCCATGACTAGGACTTTCTACACTATCTCATTTAATTCTTGCAGCAATCATGAGATGGTTTATTTTATTTATTTATTTATTTGGCCAGGACTGGGTTTGAATCACCACCTCCAGCATATGAGGCCGGCCTCCTACTCCTTTGAGCCACAAGTGCCGCCCCATGAGATGGTTTATAAGAACCATTTCACAGGTGTGAAAATTCAGGCTCAGAAAATGGAAGTAAATGGCTCAAAGTCAAACAGGTAGTAAGCGCAGAGGTGGGACTGGCCACTGGCCTCAGGCCTCGGGCAAAGGCCCTTGATTCACCTGCGTTAAAGCCAGGGTAGGTGGGATGGGAGTCGGGCAGATGAAGGAAGGTGGGGGCTGGGGAGGTCAGAGAAACTCTCTGGCAGCCACATCACCTGTGGCCCATGTAGGTAAGAGCTGGTCATCGAAGAGTGGCATTGGGAGGTGCAGCCTGGGGAAGTGCTTAGACTTCAGGGCCACCAGCAGAAAACACGAGGCTGGGCGGTGCCTGTGACTCAGTGGGCAGGGCGCTGGCCCCCTATACGAAGGGTGGCAGGTTCGGGCCCAGCCCCAGCCAAACTGCAACAAAAAAATAGTTGGGCATTGTGGCAGGCGCCTGTAGTCCCAGCTACTTGGGAGGCTAAGGCAAGAGAATTGCCTAAACCCAGGAGTTGGAGGTTGCTGTGAGCTATGATGCCACAGCACTCTACTGAGGGCGACAAAGTGAGACTATCTCAAAAAAAAAAAAGAAAAGAAAAAGAAAACACAAGCCTGGCTCCTCTTCCTGCTGTCACCACTTTGTCTTCCTCTGTCACCATCCAGGTAGCCCCAACCTTTCCCCACTTTCCCATTGAGGCAGTAACAGGAATCTGAACACTGGCAAAATTTCAAAAAGTCTAGTGGATGAGGCTGGCCCAGCAGCTGCACCGTGGAGCTTCTTTGCCCTCAGTCTGCAGGCCAGCCCACTCTTCTCCTCTTCTTGCCCTTCCTCTTCTCCTTCCTCCTGTTCCCCAGTCCTTTGGGTGCTGAACGCTGGTGACACCACGCTGCTTACAGCTCTGACAAGCAGCATGAACCTCTGAGGTTCATAAAAAATAGGAAAGGGAGGCTCAGCGCCTGTGGCTCAAGTGGCTAAGGTGCCAGCCACATACACCTAAGGTGGCAGGTTTGAATCCAGCCCGGGCCACCAAACAACAATGACGGCTGCAACCAAAAAAAATAGCCTGGCGTTGTGGTGGCACCTGTGGTCCTAGCTACTTGGGAGGCTGAGGCAGGAGACTCGCTTGAGCCCAGGAGTTGGAGGTTGCTGTGAGCTGTGGTGCCATGCCATGGCACTCTGACCAGGGGGATAGCTTGAGGCTCTGTCTCAAAAAAAAAAAAAAAATAGGAAAGGGGGTTATGGGACAATGACCTTTGTCTGGCAGACAAAGAGCTTTCCAAACAGACTAGGGGATAGTAATTAAAGAAGTCTTCAGTGGTAGAAGGCTGGAACTATTTAGAGGATATGTTTATAAATTCCATTGTCCTATGTAAGCATAAATATCCACCCACTTGCATACCCCAAATACCTCAATTCAACATCCTGTCCAGGAATGCTGAGCAGACCTGAACAACCAAGCCTATGGACAACACATAGAGACGCCTGACAGCTGGAGATTGGAGGGGAAAAACACGGGCTAAGGATATTAGAGGGCAGATACTGGGGGATGGACCAGGAGAGAGTGAAGGCTCAGGTAGGCTCGGTCTAGGGCTCTCATGGGGAGGCTTGGCTGCCAGCGAAGCCTCTGGCCCCAGAAAACTGACCAACTTGCATTTGGCCTCAGTTCTAGGTTTGGCATTTAAATATCTGAAAATAGATCTAGTCATGTTAACTGAAAAAGGAACATCAAACTGTAAATACAGTGTGATCCCATCTAAAATATGTAAGTGCAGAGAAAAAAAGGCTGGAAAGATACACATCAAAATGTCGACAGAGCTTATCTCTTGATGTTGATATAAAGGGCTTTTATTTTCTTTATAGTTTTTTGTATTTTCCAAATTTTCTACATAAACATGTACATAAAAGTTATAAAAATGTCCCTCAAAATAAGACTCCCCCAAACTGGGAGGAGCAAGGCCATGTGTTGGAGAAGTGAGCAGGGTGGCCTCTGGCCGTTCATCCCTAGGCCCACATGGGCAGGGGACATGGGCACACCCAGGCCACTCTTCTCCTCTTCCTGTCCTGTTCCCCTCTCCCTTGGGCAATGCTTGCACGGCTCTGTCTGGGAGCCAAGGTTGTCTCCTCAGGTGAGTGGGAGGGTGCAGACCTGGCCCAGTGGACATAAAGCGAGGGCAGGCAGGAGCCCACAGTGACCACTGGGCCAGGTCGCACCCTCCATGAAACAGGCCCATCTGGGGTGCCTGCCCGCAGGCAGCCAGTGGCAACCAGGAGCTTTGCCTGGAGGAACCTCATCATTTGTGGGGACAGGTGGGCCAGGGAGCCAGCACTGGGTGGGACTGGGGCAGCACAAGGCTCTACACCACATAACACGTGAGGACAGCAGCCCAGATGTCTGTTCCCCTTGGCTTCCTGGAGTCCTTCTGGGTCTATGCCTAGGTTGGGCAGGGGCTGCCACTCTGCAGTGTCTGGCTGCCTGGACTGGAGAGAAGGCAGGCCAGGGGCTGGGTGGGGCTGGGCCAGAGCTCTGGGGGTTCTCTGAGACAGTTCTTGGAGGAAGATGGAAAAAGAAACCCAGTAAAGGAATCTGCTTGACTGCCAGAAGGCAGGAGAACAGCCTGTCCCTGTCCCTGGCTTCCCCTTGAGGGACACAGACTCATATGGGGAGGGGAGGACCTTTAATTGTATTCACAGACAGATTTGAAGGGTGAGGGCTGAGACACTCCTGTTATGTGCCTGGAGAAAGAGGGGGGGGATGGGGTGGCTGTCAGTCTGGAGGACAGAGCTGGGAGGGGAACAGGGCGGGAAGAGGAGGAGAGTAGGCTGGGTGTGCCCTTGTCCCCCTCCCAGTCTTTGGTGAGACTGGCCCAGTCTAGCCATCTCAGGAGTGTCTCAGCTCCACCTCGGAGCCGAACTGGGGTCCACGGTGGGGCCTACGGATGCTGTGGTGGCGGATGCTGAAGAGCCGCTGGGTGAGCCCCAAGGTGGCCACCAGTAGAGCGACGCCCAGGAAGAGCAGCACCCACTGGCCCACACGGGCCTGCTGTGCGTCCAGGTTCAGGCCCAGGAAGTTGACGCGTCCGGTGTCCGGGACGGGGCCTTCCGAGCGAGCTGGTCAGGGAAGCAAGGAGACAGGCGGTGGGCAGGGCAGGGCGGGGCAGCTGGGTCCTGTGGCCTGGCTTCCCTGTGCTGGCTCTGAGGTCACACTTGAGTCTGCCTGGGCTGGGGAGAGGGCTCGGCCCTGCGCAAGCCCAGAGGGGTGGGCCTGGGGCTGAAGGTGGGGAAGGTGGTGGTACCGGAGTCTGGCGTCCAGTTGTACTGTGGCCAGCCTAGCTTCTCCCCATGCCGCCCATTCTCTGTGACCAGCCAGTCCAGCAGTGGCTTGAAGTAGTTCATCATGGCGGAGGCAGACATGTTGGGCTGGCCCGTGATCAGCTTCATGGCTTCTGGCCATGGCTTACTGAAGCCCAGCTTCATGGCGTCCCTGGTGAAAACAACAGAGAAAGGGAAATTGAGGACATGGTGGCCCCTCTTGACCCAGCCTAATACCCACCCTCCACACCCCCGTCTTAGCCTAATCTTCCCTTTGAGATTGGGAGGGCCTGGATGTGCTGGGGGCATAAGTTGGGGAGGAGAGATGGGGCCCCAGGGCTCCAGTTCCCTACAAAGATGGCACATCAGGCCTGGCACAGGCTCTAGCTGATGGTGCCCCAAATGTTAGTGTTCCCAGAAAGAGCCCAGAGAGTCCCTCAAGGCCAAGGGAGCAGGCCAGAGCATGGAAACAGTCAAAAGAGGGCTGGGGGTGGGGGGGGACTCACGCGAGGCGCTTCCCTGCCTCCTTGGACTGATAGATGTCACACTTGTGCAGGGGGCCCTCATGGCCAGCCGCGTGGCACAGCGCCTCATGGAACTGGAATTGGATTACGAAGCTGACAAAGTACCTGGAGCAGACGGAGGACATGGCATGTTGGAGCTAGTTGAGGTGCTTGTGCTGCTGAGTCCTAGTCCCTCCTGCCTGTAACCATCATATAGAGCCCAGCTCTGCTCCTCACTGGAGTCAGAGTGTCAGGGTGACCCTACTCTGGCCTTCAGAGATATCCAAGACCCTTCCCCACTGGGCCTGTGTCCCAACCCTCCATGTCTTGGGTGGGTTGCTCTGGGGACAGTGCGGGGGGGGGGGGCGTCCAGGGAGTACCCATGGTGAGAGGGGTCAGGGCAGAGCTCTGCAAGGATGTGGCAGGCTGCTTTTGAGGCAGTGAGGTCTCCATCCCAGAAGTATATGTACAAGTAGAGGCTGGGTATTGCCAATGGGTCACATGGATTTGGCAGGGTGGTCTGAGCAGGAAAGCCAGCCCCAAACTGATCTCCGTATCTGAGCTGGCAGGAATTCCCTGATAGAAATCTGCCAGTCATATACCAAGGTTGGTGGGTTCGAACCCAGCCTGGGCCAGCTGAAACAACAATGACAACTGCAACAAAAAATAGCTGGGCGTTGTGGTAGGTGCCTGTAGTCCCAGCTACTTGGGAAGCTAAGGCAAGAGAATGGCTTAAGCCCAAGAGTTAGAGATTGCTGTGAGCTGTGACACTATGGTGACATAGTGAGACTCTCTCACAAATGTATTTATTTTTGCTCATTCTTTACGAGGTTTTTGCTTCCTTATCTTAAACATTGTTATTGTTGTTAAATTTTAAGCCTTTTTACTCTGTGAAGGCAAAAAGTAGAAATCTAATAATCTCATGTATATGTAAAAAATAAAATAAAATAAAATAAAGAAATCTGCCTCTTCTCCTTGGAGAGGAGCAAGTCTGGAGAGGTTTTAAATGTCCCCAACCCATAGCGCAGGCCTCACTTTGAATGCGGGGGAGTAAACAATGGGTCACTGATTCCCCTTACCCTTCTTAAAAGTGCTTTACTAAGGCTGCTGGCCATAAGGTATAATGTTTTATTTTCTTCTTTTTTTTTAAAGACAGAGTCTCACTCTGTCACCCTGCATAATAGACTGCAGTGGTATCATCCTAGCTTTCTGCTATCTCTGTGGAGGTTGCTCTAAGGTGATCCTCCTGCTTCAGTCACCAGAGTAGCTGGGACTACAGGAGCACACCACAGGACCCAGCTAATTTTTCTATCTTTTTTTTTTTTTTTGCAGTTTTTGGCTAGGGCTGGGTTTGAACCTGCTACCTCTGGTATACGGGGCCAGTGCCCTACTCCTTTGAGCCACAGGTGCTGCCCTTAATTTTGCTATTTTTAGTAGAGACGGAGTCTTGGTCTGGCTCAGGCTGGTCTCAGACTCCTGAGCTGAAAGGATCCTCCTGCCTTGGCTTCCCAGAGTGCCAGGATTACAGGTGTGAGCCACTGTGCCTGGCCAAAATGTACAATGTATTTTTCCAGAGCTGCCACATCTCCATTGCCCACCCCTGCTTGGAAAATTGTCTACATTAAGCTTGGAATCTAACCACCCAATAGGCCCTGCTTTTGGGTGACAGTGAGTGCCAGCTTGGAACCCCTGAAACCACTCCAGGTGGCAGGTGTGGGATTGGACATTGGAGTCATCTCTGTGGCTCAGTGAGTAGTAGGGTGCGGGCCCCATATACCAAGGGTGGTTGGTTCAAACCCAGCCCTGGCCAAACTGCAACACAAAATAGCCGGACGTTGTGGCAGGCGTCTGTAGTCCCAGCTACTTGGGAGGCTAAGGCAAGAGAATTGCCTAAGCCCAAGAGCTGGAGGTTGCTGTGAGCTATAATGTTACAGCACTCTACCGAGGGTGACTAAGTGAGACTGTGTCTCTAAAAAAATAATAATAATTAAATTTAATTAAAATAAAAACAAAGTGATAGTGCTCAGGTCAGGATCTAGTCACATGTCATGGTTAATGTTAACTACTCAACCAAGGTCTTATACCATTAGCCAAATTTCACGTTGAGTTTCTGGTTTGAACTGTTATAAAAGACCAGCAGTGACCGCATTTTAAGCACTAAGTTGTGGGCACTGCTCCTCATGGCTCACCCTCCTCCCGTCCCTGTTACCTGATGTAAGGCACACTTGAAGGAATGTGGAACTTGGCTCCTGGGTCAAAGTCACCTTGAGACCTGGCAACCGGGGGGCAGAGACCCTGGTACTTTAGCCTGTCAAGAGGGAACAGATGTTGGATGGCAAATTTGGGCAGAACCAAGCAGGGAGGGGAGTTGGCATTTTGAAGGATGATCCCTGCACCTGGGGCTACATAGGGCACCCCACTCACTTGCATGCTGTGCCTCGGCATAGCCACCCACTATGTCCCCATTGCTCACCCCTGACACTGGCCCATCCTCAGACACACAGGCACACGTGGACCCCGAGGTCCCCTCAGCCCACATCAGGTGATCTAGTACCTGAGGCTCCACCACTCCTGGTTGTAGTTCTCCTTGCTGATGCTCCCATCGAATACCCTCCAGCGCCACTGGTCGACCAGGTAGCTGAAGGGGATAAAGGCGACCTTGTCGAGTGCCATCTTCATCAGAAAGTTGATGTCGTTCTCTGCCAAGGGGAGGGAGCCCAGCCATCAGCCCTATGCCTGCATCTTGCCAGCTCCTAGTCCTTGGCCCCATGAGCGTGTGTGGCTGAAGGGGAGGGGGCCCTGCAACCTGCCTCCCGGGATGGTTGGGGTGCTCTGTCTTCCCAGGCTCACCCTGCTGGTGGACCCCTCCTTCCTTACACTCTGTCCCAAACCTGTGCCCCACTAAGTTCTCCTCCCCCACCCAGAGGCTGCCCCTTCTTGGCCCTCAGCCCCCCAGGGCCTCCTGTTCCCCTCTTACCATAGCCAACACCCTCACTACTCAGCAGGTTGAGGCTGTGTAGGTGCTTAGGGGTAGACACAGAGAGGGCCAGCACATCCCCAATGGCTTCGTGAAAGCCTGGGTTGGCACCCTCTCTCAAGGCTACAGGCAAGTCCTTGTACTGCATGAAATACTGGATGTGGCCCATTTCGTGGTGGGCTACCACCAGGTCCTCCATGTTCACCGACGTGCACTGCTTGATCCTAGGGACACGGGTAGAGGAGAGGGTGCCAGGAGAGGACAGTGAGAAGCCCTGGGTAAAGGGACCCACAATTCTTGCTGCTCCCAGAGTGGACCCCAACACTGTTGTATTCAGGGCACAGCACTGCCTGCCATGGGAAGGAAGGTGAAAGGGGACACCCAGGGAGCCTGAGGGGAGAGGGAGGGAGTGGGAGAAAGAGACTCCAGTTTCCTTGAATAGCTCCTGCCCACCCAGCCTGGTGCTTCTGACTGTACAAAGTGCTTGCTCTGGAGGCACTGGGATGCTCAGTCATGTGCTTTCTAGAATGTATGGCCCATGGTTTCCCAGGGTCACATTTTATCCTCCCAGTCCAAGGCTTCCTGAGAAAAACTACAGTCTCTGGACTACTCTGCATCTCATGCAGCCTAATGGCAATGAGCAGGGGTCCCGGGAGAGCCCCATGCCAAGTGAATCCCACGTCTCTGTTCTCATCAGGGCAGGGTCTTGGAGAGCTGCCCGGTATCCTGGCTACAATCACGTTAGGCTTTGTCTAGCTGTTCCTCTGACTCCCCTTAAAAGGGATGTTCCCCAATCCTGTCTACACTCAGCTCTCCAGACTTAGCACTCAGGCCTCTCAAGGCCAGAGGGCAGACAGATGGATGAACCCTGTCTGCTGTGGCTCCAGGCCACATCTCCAGACCCTCAGTCCCAGATTCTAGCCCTGCCCTTCCACTCTGCTCCTTCTGGCTGAGGGAGGGGCCATGGAGCCTTCATGTACACATTCCCTTACCCACTGAGCTCAGGAAGGAGGCCCCCAGCTCCAGCTGGACATACCGAAAGTCCTTGCCATTGTAGAAGTCCCAGGCTGAGGCATGGCACACCACCTCCCGGCCATCAGTCGGCTTCTCTAGCATCGACTTGTTCCAGAACTCAGGGGGCACGGGCAGCAGCCCCAGGGATATGAAGAAATTATCAGCTTCCTTAAACATCCTTCTGGGTGTCCAGCCCTGCAAGCAGAGGGAATTCTGCCCAAACTGGGGGCTCTGGGGACAGACTTTGTGCCACAGAGGTAAGGAATTCTAGAATGAGAGGGCCCCTCCCCCACGAGCAGGGCCTCCCTGTCCCGGGGCCAGTGCAGACCTGCTTTATCATTGCCTCTGTGGCGTCCATGGACGGGGCTGAAGGGAAGGGCACCACTAAGTCATAGATGTTGGACCAGGTCTGCGCCCACATGTTCCCTGTAGGTGGAGGGGTGGGGAGAGATGGCAGAGACAGGAAAGACAGATATTAATGCTTCTTAGGCTAGGCGCCATCCTACGGGAAGAGGGATCCAGATCTAGTCCTGCCAGCCACATCAACATCTCTTGAGCACCTACTATTTGCAAACTGTGCTAGACATTTAGCATTCATCATCTTTGCTGTGCACATCCCGCCCACAGGATCATCACTTTCCTGGTTACAGGTAAGGCCTTTCCTTTCTGGTCACCTTTGCTGTCCACAAGCAGTGAAGGCCAATGTGACCAGGAACGTTTATAAAATAGAGAGCTGGATGGCAGAGGAAATGGAGGCTGGAGCATTATGTGACCTGCCCAGGGGCCATGTTTCCTAAGCAATAGAGCTGGGATTTAAAGTCTGGAAGGCCACACTTTTGATCAGTCACTCTGCTGTGTCCCCTCTGCACTGCCTGAGGTCAGTTTAGGTTGCCACCTGTCAGAAACTCTGGCAAGAACCAACCATCTCCTTCTGTGTCAGGGTAAGAAAAGAGCCCAGTTTTCCAGGGCTAAAGAGAAGGAAGATAGTCAGAATGAGTAGAAGGCTCAGAAATAGATTTGGAGCAAAGATTCTTTCATAGCCCAGGGAAGTTAAGCTTGTGGTGACATCAGATAAAGTCTAAAATATAAACCAGCGAGAGCGAGTGACAGTGATGGAGGGAGCAAGATAGACAGAGCTGTGCCTGGTCATTCTGACTTTGTCGACCCTGGCTCTGCCCCAGCCCCCAGGCCAGCCTGGGCACATTGCTTCCCTTCCTGGGGTCTGTGTCTCTCAGCTATTGAGCTGATACTCTGGCAGTCATTGGCTGCCCCCTAATGACTTCTAAATGGTCTGCGGCCCTGTGTGGCCTCTCTGCTTCCCCTGAAATGCATCTACATTCTCGAGATTCTTCCCTGTCCCAGTTTCCCTAGCCTGAATGCTGTGCCTGTCTTCTCCTCCCCATTTCCCATCTGTCAAAACCTGCTGCCTCCCAAGGGCTTGATCACAGGTCACCTCTTGGGGAAGCATCCCCAGCTTCTGCTGGAGGCCCCTTCCTCGCCCTCCACCTGAGGTTCATGGAGCCTCAAGTGTTGACGGGTTATGTGGTGCACCCCGACAAGATTATGAACTTCTCCTGCCACCACGAGAAGTCTTTCTTCTCTGGTGACTTGTACAACGTGGGTCTGTAACAAATGTGGCACCAAATGTGGCACCAAATGCAAGCAGCCACCCCCGCCAGTGCCCACCCCCTTCAGCCTCAGCAACTCTCCCCCCAGGGATCCAGTCTTCTCACCACCCAGCCTGTTCACTGCCCTCTGGCCCAACCTGTGCCCTCACCCAGCAGATGCGCAGGGATGGGGCCCTCCAGGTTGATGTGCTGGGCCCCATAGTGGCGGTGCAGGGCACGGCGCACGTAAGCGTGCAGGTTCAGGTAGAGCGGCTGCAGCTCCTGGAACAGCTCCTCCAGGTTCTGCTCCAGGGACGGCATCTCATACATGGACCTCCATGAGTCCCCTCCGTCTATGTAGCCTGCAGGAGGGGACACAGCCAGTCTCTCTGAACTCACAGGCCCATTCCCCCAGCACCTCCCTGCGTCTCTTTTTCCCAGGCTTAGGGACTCAGGGGACCTCTTTAAGGAAGCTGGGAGGTTGGGGAACAGAGAGCCAGCACCACTGGGACTCACCATTGAGCCGGGCAGCTTTGTTGGTGAGTTCCACGTACTTTGGGAAAGAAGGGAGGATGGCTCTCCCCACTTTATCCCGCCAGCTCTTCCAGGCCCATAACAGTTCATAGTATTGCCGGGATGTGGCCATCATACTTGTCAGATCTGGGCGGGGGGGGGGGGATGTCAAACAGCTTGAGCCCTAGCCCTTGGCTCATCCCTCATCTGCTTCTGGGGGGAACTCATAGATTCTCAGAGCAAGAGCAAAACTGCTGAGACCACGTCAAAGTTCCCCAGCCCAGAAGAAGGTGCAAGGCAGTCGGGGCAACCTGACCCTCGATGCCAGGTTATGCTCACTCCGTTTCAGAACATGCTACGTGGCACCTAATTTTCACAGGGCATTGAATTCAATACATTTTATTTGGTAAGAAATGTATTTTGAGAAATTCACATCTGTTCTCTGGTGATGTGAGTCATTTTACTATGGGTCAGTGACCCGATGGCCCAGCCCAAATAACAGGGCTGCCAGAGACGGGGGCAGGGGCTGAATGTCACACTCACATTTGCTCTTCCCCATCAACACACACATGTACACACATGTGCATACACAGACACACATGCAGAGGCGCATACGTGCACACAGAGGCACGCGCCTCCTCCCCTCAATGTTCTTTCTCCTGTTTATTTTCCATTTTCCCTTCTACATGGCCTTGTTCTAACATGGGAGCTGGGCTAGAGGCCAGGAAGATCCATCACCCAGGAGAGCTTCCTCATGGAAAAGCGGAAGGAAAAGTGGAAAGAAAAGCTTTATGCCTCTAGCTCCCAGCCTTGGAGAGGGCAGGTGGGGAGGGAACAGAGAGGTATTATGTACAGAGACTCTGGCTGGGGTGAGCGCCTTCCAAGGAGTCAGGGTAAGAGGAGCCAGCCAGCCTGGAGAGAAGGTGGGATGCAGAGAGCCATCTGCGCTTGTGCAGGGGGAAGTTGTGGGAGAGGGAAGGAAGGAGGCCTAGGCTCTCATCTGGTTTTGCTAGGGGCTCTGTGACTGTGTGTGACACAGTTTCTTTATCAGTCATATGCTGGGGATAGTGCCTATAGCTCAGAGGCTAGGGCACTAGCCACATACACTGGAGCTCGCGGGTTCCTATCCAGTCTCGGCCCGCCAAACAACAATAACAACTATAACCAAAAAATAGCTGGGCGTTGTGGTGGGCACCTGTAGTCTCAGCTACTTGAGAGGCTGAGGCAAGAGAATCGCTTAAGCCCAAGAGTTTGAGGTTGCTATCAGCTGTGACGCCATGGCACTCTACCAAGGTGACACAGTAAGACTCTGTCTCAAAACAAACAAACAATTAAGTCATATGCTGGGGAGGGGCCTGAGAAAGCCAGAGAAGGTAGGAGGTGTGTGTGCGTGCACTCATATGCTCTTGAAATACAAATTTGTAGTTCCGCTGCTCTAAGGGGCAGAGAGCGGAGGACAGGAGAACAGGAGAGAATAGAGAGACCGACCACAGAGGGTGGCTCCCAGGGAGGGGCAGTGAGCCAGGGCATAGCACGAGGGAGGTGCTGGCTGTCAGTGGGGCAAACAGCACCCACACCCAAGGAAAATTTGGGCACTTTCTTGGGCACACTGATCCCATGAGCCAGGGAGTCCAACTACCCCCTCACTTGGCCACGCCCCTGACCCCACACCTGACAGTGCCAACCCCATGCCTGGGTACGCCTCTGACTCCACACCAACCCAGTCCCCACCTCGCTCATCCTCCCATGTGTGCTCTCACCAGGCTCCAGCTGCAGACAGGTGCCGTTCGTGTGGCACACAGTGGCCACGCTGTACGTGGTTTCCATTTCCAGCAGGATCTTATTGTACTGCAGGAGGAGGAAGAGAGGCCATGAGCTACCTCTCTGCTGCCTATAATGACCCCGGCCCATGGGGAAGGACCTGGGGGAACACATTCCCTGAAGGCGCTGTCTCTGTAATTCTGTAGGTGTGTGTGGCTGTGGCAGACACCATGACTCGATAAACCAAGGAAGAGGAAGCAGCAGGAAGTCTGGTCCCTGCCCCCCCCACGCCACATACCTCCTCCAGCTCCTTGGCAGGCAGCGCTGCCCGATCTAGGTCCTGAACCTTCTTTATGACCCGCTTGGTGGTGGTGTTCTGGAAGGTGCTCACGTCAAACTGCCTGGCTTGGATGCCCCACTTCAGGGTGTGGTTGGCTATCTCCAAGTTCTTCTGCAGCTGAGGGTGCAAAGAATGGTGTCAGGGGGCCTAGGAGTTTTGGAGCAGCCTCTGAGCAAGACACGTCATGGGGGAGCCAGAGAACTTGGGGCGGCAGGGAGGGGGCAGTTTGGTCAAATTGCAGGCTTAAAGACCCTCTTTAAGCTTGTGACTGCTATTGAGCAAGACATATCCTGGCAGGGGAGGGGAGGGGAAGCCCACCACACAAGCTAATGCCCTTAGGATGGAAGCAGCTTGGTATTAGTTCTATGGCTTCTCTGTGCCTCTGGGTCCCATCTGTAAAATGGGAATAAGATCACCAATTTTGCAAGGCTGTTGAAGAATAGAAGAGGCAACAGAAGTAAAGTGCCAAGGAGCAGGAGCCAGTACACAGTGGGGATCCTCAAGAATTTGAGTTCTCTGTGGTTAGGACAGTAACCGAATGTGGCTTGCTGCCTTGGCATAAAGTGTACTCAACTGATGGGTGGGGCATGGGGGCGTGGGAGGGAGTGCAGCTCAGCCATGGGGCAAGCAGGGGCTTTCAGTCTTTTAAAAAGTGATTCAAAGGCTGGGTGAGGTGGCTCACAACTGTAATCCTAGCACTCTGGAAGGCCAAGGTGGGCAGATTGCCTGAGCTCACCAGTTCGAGACCAGCCTGAGTGAGAGCAATACCTTGTCCCTAAAAATAGCCAGACGTGTGGCCAATGCCTATAGTCCCAGTTACTTGGGAGGCTGAGGCAAGAGAATTGCTTGTGCTCAAGAGTTTGAGGTTGCTGTGAACTATGATGCCACAGTACTCTGGTGCTTTACTGAGGGTGACAAAGTGAACTTCTTTCTCAAAAAAAAAAAAAAAAGTGACCCAAGCATCATCACTTATTTGTATACAAACTAGTCTGTTACCAGGCCCTATTAAAGAAAGAAATATTGCTGCCGGGCATAGTGGCTCAAGCCTGTAATCCTAGCACTCTAGGAGGCCGAGGCACATAGATTGCTTGAACTCAGGAGTTCAAGACCAGCTGAGCAACAGTGAGAACCCATCACTACTGAAAATAGAAAAACTAGCCAGGCTTGGTGCCTGTGGCTCAAGTGGCTAAGGCGCCAGCCACATACACCTAAGGTGGTGGGTTTGAATCCAGCCCGGCCCACCAAACAACAATGACGGCTGCAACCAAAAAATAGCCAGGCGTTGTGGCGGGCGCCTGTAGTCCCAGCTACTTGGGAGGCAGAGGCAGGAGACTCACTTGAGCCCAGGAGTTGGAGGTTGCTGTGAGCTGTGATGCCACAGCATTCTACCCAGGGGGATAGCTTGAGGCTCTGTCTCAAAAAAGAAAAAGAAAAACTAGCCAGGCATTGTGGCAGGTGCCTATGGTCCCAGCTACTTGGGAGGCCGAGGAAAGAGGATTGCTTGAGCCCAAGATTTTCGGGTTGCTGTGAGCTATGATCCCACCATAACAGTCTACCCAGGGCAACAGAGTGAGACTCTGCCTCAAACAAAACAAAAAAAGAAAAAGAAATATTGCTGAGGCATCGACTACCTGCCTACCCAGATCTGAAGCTGAGCGTTGTTTTAAATATTCTATTTAAAGCCCTGTGCTGTGGGTGTGTCTGGGTGTCTGGGCACATGTGGGTGGCAGGTGGCAGAGGTTCTCACCAGGATCTGGCTGGCCTCCGTGGTGATGTTGGTGTTGTAGTTCCAGTTAGCCTCGGCGAACTCATTCCATACCACCTGGGATACCTGGTCATATTCTTCCACAAACTTGTTGGCCTCAGCCTCATCGGTTATCAGGTCTGTGGGACAGAATGGAGGGAAATAGACAAGCTTTCCCTTGCCCTCTCTAGGGGAAGTTTCACCTAAATACTCCCCCCACCTGACGCCCCACCTCAGCTACCCCCACCTCAGCCACCCTCCTTGTGCCCCTCTCCCAAAAGGTCCCACTTAGGTTCTGGGTTGTCTGGAGGACTGTTATCTGGAAGATTGTTGTCTGGTGGGTTGTTGTCTGGCTGCTGGTTGTTTCCTGGCTGGTTGTCCCCTGGTTGACTGTCACTTGGTGGTCTGTCACCTGGCTGGGGACCAGCAGGGGGTGCCCGTAGCAGAGGAGCAGAAAGAGGAGGCTGGGCAGTCCTGGAGCAGCCCAACCGTGGCCCATGGCCGCAGGAGAGCAGAGCCCTGCAGCCACTGCCCCCTGGCCAATAAGAGTGGAGCCTGCAGTGTGACCTCATAGAGCAGCATGCTGCCAGCCTGCCCCCGAGGCCCTCAGGTCTGGGCGTGCCCTTTCTAGGATGCCAGGAAAGAGACATGTTCAGCCCAGAGTGCCAGAGCTCAGCTGACCAGGCAGGAGCCTGGGCCCAGAGCCCAGAGTTGAGGACTTGCCCTAGTCCCACCCCACGTGGGACTTTACCAATGCCTTCTGGGTAGTTCGTAGGCAATGGAGGACGCCACTGGTATTCTGGCCAGCCCAGGATCTCATTGTTCTGCTGGTTTTGCTCCTGCAGCCATTGGCTGACTGGTTGGAAGTAGTCGAGCAGCGGCTGAGCGTCTAGGGCATCTGAGCCAGTCATATTCTTCAGCACCTCCTGCCAGGGCCTGGACGAGCCTGCCCGTAGCACCTCCCTGGTAGGCGGGGTAGGAGCCATGGGCATAGGGGTTCAGGATGGGGTCCCCTACTGGACTCTGACCCACATGCCCCACCTCTAGCCACTTCCATCCTCCACTGGACAGCAAAAACAACAATAAGACTCTAGGGCCTCATCTCTGTGAGAGTGGCAGGGGATATTTGTCTTGCCACATGCTAGCCAAAAGGCCAACTCAATAAATACTTGATGAGAGAGACAGAAGGAATACACTCCCATCAGCCCAGCCTGGTGGTGCCCCACCCGGGGTGGCCGTCATCTCCTGACACCCTCTGCCACCTGCCCCCGCCGCCCCATCCCACCACGCACTGGAGCTTGGCCCCCGCCTGGGTGGACTTGTAGATGTCACACTGGTGCAGAGGGCCCTGGTGGCCTGCCTCCTTGCACAGGGCTTGATGGAACTGGAACTGCAGGATGAAACTCACAAAGTACCTGCAGGCACAGCAAAGGCATCACGATCTCTGGCTCAGGCACTAGCCAGCCATTGCAGGGCAGAGGCTGGACTAGGGGCTGTCTTGCAGGAGAGGCAAGGACAAAGTCTGGTTCAGGAGAGGGGTCACTCTGACTCTGGGCCCTTCGGGGTCTGGAAGAACATGAGGACAAGCCCTGGGGAATCACAGGAGGAGAGGACAGAGTGGCAGGTGTGACAGAACTGGGGGGAGGGGCAGGGGAAACAATACCTGATGTATGGTGTCCCATTTGGGATATGAAACTTAGCTCCAGCATCAAAGTGGGTTTCGTTTCGGACAACTGGAGGACAGATCCCTTGATACTTGGTCCTAGAAGAGGATGGTTAAGTGTCTTGGGGCCTAGAGGTTACACATAGACCGATTTATGTAGCTTTAGTAGAAAAGGCATTCCCCACTGGGCCACCTTCCCTATCTCGGGCAATTTTGGAAGATTTCTGGAGCAGGAAGCTTTAGGAAGGAGAGGAGAAGGCAGGCATCATGGTGAGGTCATCACTCAGAGAAGGTCCTAGGACTGCCTGAGGTAGGCTATGCCACTGGGGGTCAAGCCCCTTCTGCCCTTCTTCTCACCGAAGATACCACCAGTCAGAGTTGTAGCGGGAAGGAGGTGTGTGTCCACTAAACACTCCCCAGCGCCATTGGTCCACCAAGTAGCCAAAGGGCAGGAAGGCAATCTTGTCCAGAGCCATCTTTAGCAAGTAATTAATGTCACTTTCTGTCGGGAGACAAGATATGAGGAGAGAGGTCCGAGGGAGAAGGGTCCAGCTGGGAGAGGGTGTGCTGGGAACAGCAGGAGGTGAGGCTAGGCAGATGTAGATGGGGGAGGCTGGGGCCCTGCTCAGAAGAGGGCCCTCAAGGAGCACTGAGCTGGGCTCAGGGTGGGCTGTGGGATGCCAGGTGGATCCCAAACCCTCCTCCTTGATCTGGGGTTGGGAGGCAAAAATAAGAAGGGTAAAGCTTCAGGAAACAGTGGGGTTTGGGTGGGGCTGGGCTAGGTCAGGTCCTCTCCGCTCCCCATACCTGTGTCATTAGTGACATGATCCAGCAGGCCAATTTTGTGCAGATGTGCTGGAGTGGAGACTGAGAGCCCTAGGACGTCCCCAATGGCCTCGTGAAAGCCAGGGTTGGCACCCTCGCGCAGGGAGACGGGCTGGTCCTTGTACTGCAGGTAGTACTGTACGTGGCCCATCTCGTGGTGCACCGTGGACAGCTGGTCCATAGTCACCTGCGTGCACTGCTTGATCCTGGGGTGTGGAGAGGGCAAAGAGAGGTTGCAGAATAGGGTGAGGCAGGGGCTGGCCCCAGGGAGGTGGCACCTGACAGGAATGAGGGTGCTGCCCTGGGGCTTGAAGAAGCAAACCCTCTATCCTGCCCCGCCCACCACTCGGGCCCCCTTCCTCCATCCCAAGGTACAGGGTTGGTTACTTGTCACAGCTGCCAGGGAAGGTGGCCTTATGGTCCCTATATGCCCAATAGGCCTGGAATAGACCCAACCCCCAGCCAGAGCCAGGGTGGGGTAGGGGCAGGCTTGGAAACCAGCCTTCCCGCTCCTCCTGTGTGGAGACCTGAAGTCCTTCCTGTTATAGAAGTCCCAGGCTGAGGCATGGCACACCACCTCCCGCCCGTCAGCCGGCTTCTCCAGCATCGACTCTGCCCAGAACTCCGGAGGCATGGGCGAGAGCCCCAGGGAGGTGAAGAACTCCTCTGCCACCCGGAACATGTGTGTGGCGTTCCAGCCCTGGTGGTGGGTGTGGGAACAGGTCAGGGGGCAGGCCTGGTGTCCCCCACACAGGTCAGCTCCCTCTGTGTTGAACCACAGCAGGTCAGTACTGCTGACTATGGCTGCTCCATCTGCCACCATGGGACCTGCAGGGAGAGGCTGGCACCTCCCTGAGGACACAGACCCCTAGCTCCAGGCTTGCATAGACACTCCATGTGCTGCTCTGTGAAAAGGCAGGGCTGTGCTTGCCCCTGCCCACCTTATGCAACCCCTTCTGCTCCTCCCCAATTTTTCTGACTCCTCTTCTTGCTCCCCTACCCCTGGCAGCTGATCCCAGAGCTCACCTGCTTCACCATAGTACTGGTGACGTCGAGGTTGGGCTTGCCTGGGAAAGGCACCACCATGTCATAGAGGTTGTCCCAGCTCTGGGCCCACATGTCTCCTAGATGGAGGAAAGGAGCAGGACCGCTTGGTCTCCCCATGTATGTCACCGAGTGGCACCCTTGGCATCTGGCACCAGGATCCTGGGGCGCTCCCAGGGCAGCAGACTTAGTTCAGGGCCAGGAATCTCATGTTGGTCCCACCCATACTCCTCTGAGTACCCCATGTTCCCAGGGTTAGCAGAGCCACATGAGTCCACCATGCTGCTGCTTGCTGCCCTTTCTGACTGTGTCAGGGTCCCTGCCTCCTGGTCCCCACCAGACTCGCTTCCTTGGGCATGACCTAGGACTGAGACTTTCTCCACCAGACCTGGGGCCAGACCTTCAGTGTGACTCCTAGTTCAGCCTTCTACTAGCTTTCTGCCAGCTGAGTCACTCGTTGCCCATAAGGAGCGAGAGGATTGCCTACTCCCTGGTGGTACTGAGCCTGCTACAGGCTCCTGCCTGTGGAAGTGAGCAGGACAATGTGCCATACATGTGAGATGTGACAATGACCACCCACTTTCCATTACCCTAGATGTCTCTGCATGCCTGCGTCAGGCCCACACCTCCCTGGGACTTGAGTGGAGGCAAGGCCAGGTCCTTACCCAGCAGATGAGCAGGGATGGGTCCCCTGAGGTTGATGTATCTGTCCCCATATCGTCGGTGCAGTGCTCGGCGGACGTAGGCATGGAGGTTCAGGTAGAGGGGCTCTAACTGATGATAGAGGTGCTCCAGATCCTCCTCAAAGGTGGCTGAGTTGTACCAGGAGCGCCAATAGGCCCCTGTGTCTGAGAAGCCTGGGCAGGCAGGAGGGTCGGTATGTGGCTCAAATCCCAATTTCAGCACCTCCACTGCTCAGATACAACTTGGCTATTCACCCTGCTCAAGGCTGAGTACCTGCCAGCTAGCTGTACCACATGGTTCTATAGTTCTAACTAAGGGCTGCGCCATGCTCCTGCTAATTAGATCCTAGAGAATACCAGAGGCAAAGAAGGGAGCTGGGCCCAGGAGTAGCAGCAGGAGGGCCATGAAGAGCAGCCATCAGTGTGATAGAGGCTTGGTGGGCACAGGCCGGGTCCCACCTCTACTAGCTTTGAGAATGGAAGTGGTGTGTAGACTCATCTAACCAGCTTCTCTGCCCATCTCCAGGCCTGGCACCCAGTGGAGACAGACGACAAGAGGACACTGGGCAGTTGGGAAGGGCTGTGGGCTGTTCCTGGCTGAGGGAGGCCTGCTCACCATCCTGCCTGTAGGCCTCGTTGCTGATGGTGGTGAAATCCTGGTATAGGGCTTTCAGCGGGATGCCCACGGTGTCATGCCAGCCCTCCCAGGCAAACAGCAGCCTAGCATAGCTTCTTGAGGAAGCCAGGATGTTGGTGAGCTCTAGGATGCAGGCAAATGGAGTCAGTTAGAAGAAGGCTTCCATGTCAAAGCTCAATTTCCAAGACTTCCTCGACATCACGACGTCCCAAAGCCGGGGACCACCTACAGGCTGGATGGGACAGGGCTGGGAGCTATGCAGAGCAAATACCCAGGCAGGGCTCTGTCCCCAGAGAAATGATCTAAGGTAGTTGACATCAAGAGGATATGGCTCCTTGGAGGGACTGACCTCAAGACTGTCTCATAAATGGAGTTGGGCTGGGAGTATAGGGGGAGCCACGAGGGGCCCAAGGCCTATGGAGAGCTCTTGGGGGAAAGTAAGAGGACCCGCATAAGGGAAGGCTAGGCAGCCAGGAGCAAGGAGCACATATGTGGTGGTGGGGCTGGGGGCCAGAGGTTTTGGAAGTGAGTGTGTCAGAAGCAGGGTGTATCTGCACAGTCCAGCCCCAAATGGAGGCAATGCCTTTGGGTTTACTACCCCCTCCACAGGCCCTATGGATAACCATGCATGCCATCCCCTCTGAGTGCAGCAGGGAGGTGGGGCAAAGGCTAGAGAGGGCAGCAGCAGGGCTGTACCTGGGTCCAGGGACCAGCAGGTGGCAGTCTTGTTAGGGAAACAGACCTTGGTGGTGGAGTAGATCCGGCTCATGTTGGTTTGCAGGGAGACATACTGGAGAGTTAGAGGTGAGGAAATGTTAGCGGTCAACAGCTCCCAGGGGCAGTCTGATCACCCCCTCCTCACACTGCTTGGAGGAAAAGGTGGTTCAGATAGGGGATATGGCTTGGACAAGGCCACACAGTGGTATCTAGGCCACTTCTGATCACTAACACACTGATTCTCCTTCCAGTGGAGGCAGCCTACAGAGGGACAGGCAAGAGTCCTGAGAGTTAGGGGGCAGGTCCCAGCTCCACCACCACCCTGCAGGGAGGTCAAGTCTCCCATTCTCTGGCCTTTGTGCCCTTTCGGTCCTTTTCAACCTTTCTAAGGAAGGCCATAAACCAAACCAGCCTAGGAAGAAATTTACCTGAATTGACTTTCTACTTCATATTACTTGCTTTAACATACAGTAACTTCCCACCCCACCTCCAAAGGAAATCAACGCTTCAGGGAGCCATTCCATGCTTGCCTGGACTTGCCTTACAGCCAGGGCCCATACAGATCCCAGGATCCTCTCTCCCTGCCAGGCTGCTCCCCTGCCACCTCCTTGGGGCACTGGGGGGCACCTCCTGCGGTCACCTCAGGCTCACCTGCTGCTGCTTGGCCAGGGGCAGGTTGGCAGGGCCCAGGGTACACACAGCTCTGATGACTTTGCGCAGCTTTGGATCAGTGAAGTTCTGCCAGATGGGCCCATACAGCTCCTTGGCCTTCTGGCCCCAGGCCTCTGCAAACCGTTGGTTGAGCAGGACTGCTTCCTCCTGTAGACGGATGTAGGGAGGCCGCAGCTTAGTCAGGTGTCATTTGCGGGAGGGAGGCCGTGGTGCTGAGAGAGGGGAGGAAGGGAGGCCGAGGCCTTCCATACGCCTGGCCCTGGAGAGATCGCTGTCCTGGAGACTGGAGTTTGCGGGAGCAGTGTCCCCTAATCCTGGGCCCTCTGGGCAGGAAGTAGGGTAATCTGCCCCACCGGAGCAATGAAGCACAAATTGAGGCCTGAACAGAGGCAGGGTGAGGGGAGGGTGAATAGACCGTGAAGGGTGGTGACAGGAATAGTGTCCCGAGGTGGGTAGGCAACGATCTAAGAGAGCCAGGGTCACATTGCAGTGCGAGGCACCCTCAGGGAAGACTGCGGCTGCTCCATCCCCATCCCAGGGCTCTGTCTCCTGGGACAGTCTCAGAGGAGCCAGCCTCATCCCGTCAGTCCCCGTCTTGGGGCTGACCACGCGCCCAGCTGGGTGCTGAGCACCCACCGCCAGGCTGACAAGCGGGTGCCGAGAGGGGAGACCAGTGCGCGTCCCAGATGGGGTCTCCGGCCGGGGGAGCGTGCCCGCCCCAGCGCCAGGCCGCCGGCCGGTGATTGGCCGCTGCGGCACCGCCCCGCCCCGCCCCCCGGCCCGGGCGCGCACCTGGCGCTGCGCATTCTCCTCGGTGATGTTGGTGGAGTACGCCCAGCTGGCCGCCGTGCTCTGGAACAGCACCTGCTCGGCGCTCGAGTTGTAGCTCTGCGCAAACAGCTGCGCCCCGGCCTCGTCGGCAGAAAAGTTGCCCGGCAGCAGCCCGGGGTCCAGCGCCTGGGCCGCGGGCGACGGCGGCAGCAGCAGTAGCTGCAGCAGCGGCAACAGCGACAGCACCGGCGGCGGCCCAGATGCCCGGAGGCCAGATGAGGCCCCCATGGCGCGATGCGTGGTGCTGCCCCTTCTCCCGCGCCGCGGCCGCCGTGCGGATTATAAAACCCAGCCACCGCCGCCTTCCGACACACGCCCACCTCCCCGCCCCGCCGCGCTTCCTCCTCGGCTCCAAAGTCCCCCGAGGCAAGGGCTGAAGGAGCCGGGCGGGGGCCAAGGTTCTCGGCCCGCCCCGGGCAGGGGCGCCAGCCGGGGAGGGGCTGAGGTGCAGGCCGGGGGTGGCCGGGGGTGGAGGGATGGGGCTGAATCAGGCTTCCACAGAGGGAGCTAGAAAGGGGATGCCCTTTCTGAAGATGAAGGGTGTTTGCTAAACCCCCAAAGCCGCAAGGTGCGGTCGAGCAGCCTCGGCCCTCAGCCGGGGTGCCCAGTAGCCTGACTTCCCAGCCTAACCTCCCCGGGCCCTCGGGCTCCAGAGTGACAAGGCCGGGCTGGGGGAGCTGTCCTTAGGTGCCGCCAGTGCGGCAGGGATGGGGTTGATGGTGCCGGGTTCAGCTTCTCCACCCGGCCACGAGAGCAAGGCGGGCGGGCGATGTAGCCTCCTACAGGGAGGGTGGGGAGAGCTTAGGTGTCCTGGTGGCGCCGTGGCAAGGTGCTGCAGATGCTCAGAGCAGGCGACTCACCTGAGTCTCGGGGTGAGGAAAGAATGGAGGAGATGTCCTGGGGGAGGCCGCGGAGGTGCAGGAGGCAGCCTGCTCTCTTCCCATTGAGGACACAAGCTGTCAGTCGCTTAGCAGAAACGATCACATATCCTCCCAACGGAGTCCTAGAACCACTGACTGCCAGGCTTTGAAAGCTGCAAAAAGCTTCAGAGATTAGAACAGCCCTGTCATTTTATAGATGGAAAAAATGACAACCGAGGTTGAGCGGCTGGCTGGTTCACCTGGGGTCTCCACACTCCCCAGCAGTCTCTTCCTGTCTCATCCACATTTCCCTGAAAGTGACAAGCAGGAGGAGGAAGGATAGTGTTGTCCTAGGACTGATGTGAGGCTAAAGGCTCAGCACCATGGTGTGTGCCCCTGGGGAGGCGGGGTGGGGGGGGGGTCGCGACCACTGACCCAAGGAGATGCCTAATGGCACAGAGGGAGCAGAGAAGTCAGTGACAGCAGCTGGGGGATCCCAGTCTTTTGGGCAGGTTGGGATGGGGTGGTTAGGCATTACTCCAGCTTCTGGGTGTGTGTGTGGGTGTGGTATCTGGGGCTTTGAGAGACCCATGGGGTTAGTCCTGTAGCATGGGTTGTGTGCAGGAGGCTGTGACCCTGTGTACTCCTGAAGCAAGTAACCCCAGGGATCATGCTGAGTTGTCAGATGACATGTGGCCAGGGGAGGGGTGTGTGCCGGAGGAGGTCCTGGGGAGCAGAGAAAGGTAGTACCCCCAGCCCTAGAGGTGGAGGCTAGGTGGGGGGAGTGTGAAGGGAGCTGGGGGCTCAGACTGGGCAGAGCTCTTTTTCCTTCCTGCCTTGTGATTTCCCTTACAACTTTTCCCCTCGAACAACCTCCCCACCCCAACTTGGCTCAGAGCGCCAGTAGGCACCAGGAGACAAGGGTGCACTTAAGGGTTGGTTAGGCAGATGGACACTCTTGGTCAGAGCAGCCCTGCCAAGGGTACAGCAGGGGCCTGAGCTCTCCTGGGAGCCACCTGGCTCTCAAGGGTCCTAATGGCTTGGTTTTCCAGGCCTGAGGGCCATGGGCCCTGTGTCCCCGAGTGCCCATGAGCTGCTTGCTGTCTTCTGGGAGCTGTCTCTCAGCTGGTAGAGGCTGGGAAGGAGACCGGTTGAAATGGGCATCCACCAGGTTGGGTGGGTGGGTAGAGAGGGAGGCCAGGCTGAGGCTGAGCCTGTAACCAGAGATCGGAAGGCCGGAGAAGGCAGATTTCAGGCAGAAACCAGCTTCCCTTCCAAAGAGCTGCTGAGAACCCTTCTACTGGTTCATGCTCAGGTCCGATTGGGTGGCCCTGCAAGAATGCCACAGTCCCTGGGTTAGGGGCTGAGTCAGCCACCAGCAGCCTCTGCCACTGCTTCCAACAGGGTTGGGAAATAATCTCATCCCCTCCTGGACGTGGAGCAAACTGATACCAGGGCAGGTGGAGGCCTCACCCCGCACCTTCCTCATGGTCATATTTTATTAGGATGGCTTGTTACGTTGGACAGCTTCACCCTCTGCTCCATGGGGCAGAGACCGTGTCAGCCTTGTCCTCTGTGGTTTTCCCAGAGTTTAGAACAGTACCTGGTACAAAGTACACCTTCATTCAAAGAAGGGGAAATGTGGAGAGAACATTCACATTCACAGTCCTGATGGTGGGCACACAGCCTCCTGCAGGAAAAACATGTGAAAAGCCAAACCTTGCTGATCTGGAATTGCAATAATACAGGCACTGCAAACTTCAACCCAAAAAGTAAAAATTAAAAATAACTTTCCCCTGTTTTTAAGGTCTTAGTCATAAGGGCCTTAGTATGAATAGGAAGGAAAATATACCTGACATCTGCATAGCACTGTAGACCTTTCCATATTCGTACATCTGTGTAGCACAGTAGACTTTTTTAAATTCTTGTGCATACATTACCTAACTTGGTATTTATACTAACCTTGAGAGGGAAGAAAAAGGTAAATTTCTCTGGTTGATCAGCCACCTTTTCAGCCACCATCCCCAGGGAGGGGACCCCAGTCTTGCAGGAGGTTATAGTTACAATGAGCCCAGTGCAAAGAGCCATAGAGCTCTGACCCACCTGCAGAAATGCAGTGTGTTAAGAGAGCTTTGCCTCTTGCCATCTCTCTTCCAGGGAAGGACAAGTTACCAGTCACCATCGTTTAAGAAAAACAGCCCTCAAGAATATGCCAACATGGCTTGGCGCCTGTGGCTCAAGCGGCTAAGGCGCCAGCCACATACACCTAAGGTGGCGGGTTCGAATCCCCAGCCCGGGCCGCCAAACAACAATGATGGCGGCAACCAAAAAATGGCCAGGCATTGTGGCAGGCGCCTGTAGTCCCAGCGACTTGGGAGGCTGAGGCAGGAGACTCGCTTGAGCCCAGGAGTTGGAGGTTGCTGTGAGTGTGATGCCATGGCACTCTACCCAGGGGGATAGCTTGAGGCTCCGTCTCAAAAAAAAAAAAAAAAAAGAATATGCCAACAGCGTAATAGAATTGAGAGTCCAGAAATGAACCACTACATTTGCATCCAGTTGATTTTTTGCCACGGGTACTAGGACAATTAAATGGGGGAAGAAAATATTTTTTAACAAGAGTTGCTAAGACAACAGGATTTCTACAAGCCAAAGAATGAAATTGGACCCCTGCTTCACACCATATACCAAATTTGACTCAACACAGATCTTACTTAATAAGAGGTAAAACCATAAAACCTTTAGAAGAAAACATAGGTATAAGTGAGTGACCTTGGATTAAGGGTTTCTTAGGTATGACATGAAGAGCACAAGTGATGAAAGAAAAAGATAAATTGGTCTTCATCAAAATTAAAAACTTTTGTTCTTGGTGGTGCCTGTAGTTCAGTGGGTAGGACACCGGCCACATACACCAGGGCTGGTGGGTTCGAATCTGGCCCGGACCAGCTAAACAACAATGACAACTGCAATAAAAAAAATAGCTGGGCATTGTGGTGGATGCCTATAGTCCCAGCTACTTGGGAGACTGAGACAAAAGAACCGCGTAAGCCCAAGAGTTTGAGGTTGCTGTGAGCTGTGACACCAGGGCACTCTACTGAGGGCAACATAGTGAGACTCTGTCTCTAAAAAAAAAGAATGTTCATATTACTCTGAACTTTTAAAAAAGAAAAGAAAAAGTAACTCATAGAATTGGGGGGACTCATAGTCCCCCCTTATCCTTGGGGATACATCCTAAGACCCCAGTGGGTATCTGAAACTGAGACAGTACTGAACATATACTATGTTTTTCCCTATACATACAAACCTATAACAAAGTTTAATTTAATTCATGAATTAGACACAGTAAGAGATTAGTAACAACTTATAATAAAACAGTTCTAACAATGTACTGTAATAAAAGTTATACGAATGTGAGTGTGAGTGCGAGGTCCCTTTAAAAAAATTTTGTTGTAGCCAGATTCCATGGTGTGTCCTTGTAGTTTCAGCTACTCTGGAGGCTGAGGCAGGAGGATCGTTTGAGCACTGGTGCTTGAGACCAGCCTGGTCCACAAGCAAGACCCTGTTTCAAAAACAAATCGTATCAGTGTAACCTAATTCTTTGTATCCTCAATGAATCCCAAACAATAAAAATAAGTAAATAAGCCTGCGTTTTATTGCAGCCCCCCATCTTACTGTACTGTGCTTGCACTTGCCCTTGTTCTTCTGATGATGTGAGATGATGCGATGCTTATGTGATGAGATGAAGTGATATGAATGACAGGCACTGTGACATAGCATTAAACTTTATCAGCTTTCTCTATTCTTTTTTTTTTTGAGACAGAGCCTCAAGCTGTCGCCCTGGGTAGAGTGCCGTGGCATCACAGTTCACACTCCTTTCCCACTCCTGGGCTGAAGCAATTTTCTTGCCTCAGCCTCCCAAGTAGCTGGGACTACAGGTGACCACCACAAAGCCCAGCTATTTTTTGGTTGTAGGTGTCATTGTTGTTTGGCAGGCC